GGACCGCCGGGGCAGCCGCCGGGTGAGGGCCCGGGAGCTGCCAGAGATGCTCCGCGGCTTCGCGCTGCTGCCGGAGCCTCCCCGTTCGCGTGAGCCCCGAACGACCCGCCGGCCGCTCCGGGGCTCGGCTGGCAGCCCTATGGGGAACCGCGGGGTGCCGTGGCAGCTGACTACTGCTGTTTTGTTTTTATTTTAAAAATACCTAAATTCAGGCAGCACCAGTCAGTCGCTTTCCTCCCCCGGCACCACCCTGCCCGGAATAATTGGGTGGGCAGGCGTTGGAAGGGGCTGCCCAAAGAAGGTGGTGGAGTCACCATACCTGGAGGTGTTTGAGGCATCTGGATCTGGCACTGAGTGATATTTAATGGTTTTGAGGCTACAGTGGCAGTGCTGGGTGGATGGTTGGACTTGATGATCTTAAAGGTCTCTTCCAAACTTGATGACTGTGATTCTTGTTTTCCTACTGATCTTGTACTCTTAGAACAGATCATGCCAAATGTATTTGGCATAACTCTTGCCTTTGACAAACTCGCTGTTAACCCTGTGCCTTGCAAGTCCATAAATAAATGCAAAAAAAGCCCCAACACGCCCCTTTGAACCAAAAAAACAGGTCCAGGCTTCTCTGAACAGATAAAAATAAACACAAAAAGTATTGAGCCAAATGGAAGAGGCTTTAAACAGAAGAGAGTAAATTTAGAGTGCCTGGCAAAGGCCCAGTGTTCAGCCACCTCTTTATATAACAAAGCCACTTTGTCCTTGTACGTATTGTTTGCTTTTTAACAGTGGTATCACTAATGGAGCTGCAGGGCACATGGAGTTCTGGGCATGCCATATGCACACACCAGCTCCCACAGTAAGTGTGCCTTTGATGGTGCCAGATGTAATAATCACCCAGAATCACAGGACATCCTGACCTGGAAGAGGCCGAGGATCACCAAATTCAGCCTGCACAGGACACCCCAACAATCCCACCCAGTGCCTTATGTATTTATGAATACATAAAAATATGCTGGAGCTACAAACCAAACTGTGATTCCAGTTCTCTTATGTATTTCTTTATGGTGGCCTTGACTTTTAAGAATTTGTGCCATGTGAGAATAAGCAAACACCTAAACACAGTGTGTGCTGTGGCAGCAGCACTCTGCTACATAACAGGAATTTATCAGTTACTGTATAAACGCTGTGGTGTGCCAGATCCAAACTGGAATTATTTCACAAGAGTGTCTTCCACGGCCTCACAGGAGATTAAAAAAAAATAAAACCGTTATGAGGTAGGAGGAGAGGCGAGTGTTGGTGAGCACCCTCAGCTCCCAGCTGCTCCCCTCAGGAACCACCTCGGCACCTACTTTACCAGGGCAGATCTGACCGGGGCCCACACTTTTTTTAATACTGAGCCCTGTTTTTTCACAGCAGTAAAGCACTAGAGCAAACTAGAAAGAGTACTACTGTTCCTGAAAAGTAGAAAAGCTGCCTCACACAACTGGGGGGGGCGACAAGAAGCAACCAAGCTCCCTCAGACCCTCAGCTTGACCTCCCTGCAGTGCCCCGCCCACCGCCCTCACACGGCCCCGCCCACTACCCTCACGCGCAACTGCACCCAAATCAGCACGTGCCCCTGGATTCCAATTCTATTGGGCGAGACGAAGAGGGCAGGGCTAACCTCTCTATAAAGGACAGCGCAGCGGATTCTGGGTCTTTCTTTCGGCGTGGCCAGTGAGGTGAGCGGCTTGGTGGGAGCGGAGCGGGCGGATGGGTGGAGAGGCCGGGCCGCGGTGATGTCTCTTGACACGTGTTAGACTGCTGACATGCATGAAGCAAAACTACTGCTGAGCGCCCCGGCTGCACCCACCCTGTGGGGCGGCCGGGGTGTACCGCATCAATAACCTCCCGTTTTTCTTCTCGCTGTTTTGCAGGGCCCGTGCGGCGACCGGCGGCCGGGAACGGCAGTAAATAAAGTTGTATCACCCAGATTGTGTCCGGCTGGTTCTTCCGCGCGTGTCTGCACTGCCTTTGACCCGGCGGTGCCCGCCTGGCGCCGCCGGCCAAGCAGCGGTGCTACAGCGAAGTGCTTGTTCATAACTGGCGCTGCTCGGCCCTACCCGGGCTGCGCTTTTAAAAGCAAGTGACATTTGTATGCGAGCGTGTGTTCCCCTCGCGGGGACACAGCGGTGCAGTCCGCGGCGGGTTCCAGATGATCCTGCCGCCTGCCCTTCCTGCAAGGGGAGCCAGTTCCGGGCGAGAGGGCGGTGCCTGAGCCGTTCGCTCAAACCCGCGGTCAGTGCGACTGAACGAGGCGACGAGTTCTTTTAGTATTCAGGGTTCAGTTGTAAAAACGACCTTGAAAAAATGAAACGAAAGTCACGGGATTCCTGCCTTGCTGTTGCAGGAGTAGAGCAGCTGAGTGAACCGGGTTGGAGGCAGGAGAAATACATCCAGGGCTGGGGGTCATCCATGCAACGTGGTCCAAAAAAACCCCTGAAAATCGGTGTTTTACTGCCATGACTAACCTGCAACTTTTTAAAGGGCCACTTTTTTAAAAATATGTTATACTGGGAAGTACAGCATTTTCTGTCAGTACACAAAAGATCTGTAACCACACAGGATTAGACACAGAGGAATAAGGCAGTGTCTGGGCAGACTGTAAGGGATAATTAAGCTCCCAGAAGCTCTTAAAGGTGGCAGAAATGAATATGTCTGCTCTGCAACTGCTGGTAATCCTTTCACAGTTTTACCAGGTATGCAAACATGTTCTGAAAAGCATAATCCTTATTAATACTGACTGCTGTGGTGAACCTTAGTTTCATGACAGTAAAATTCACTTTAGCTTTTCCTTCTAGAGCTCAGCACTGGTTAACCCTAAAACTACCATACCACAACCACCATATACATGTATATAAAAGTCTGCAAAGCACAGGGCACACTCAAATTAGGAAGCTTCATTAAAAACGAAGTTTTTAAAACAACTTGCACTAGATAGTGGCTAAATGCCATAGAAATAAAATTTACTGAATTGTTCGACATGGGATAAATTTATTTAATAAAACAAAGCAAGCAGATTGTAGTTACCCACAGTTTATGAAGTGCAATATGACTATCTTGTGTAATAAGTCTAAATCTGTTTACACATTAGTGCATCTAGTCCTTTGACTTTAGTTATTGCACATAGAAATTAACTCATATAAAAGACCTGCGTACAAGACATGCAGACTTCATGAAAGGCAAATAATGCCTACAGAATCAGCAAACCCCAGAATATACACAGCCTGGAATGGTCAAGGAGGAGTTCAGGTAACAAATATAACTACTAATATTTCAATTAAAGGTAACCAAAATAGGTGTTCAAATATAGAATTAATTTTAAATATATTAAATGCTAGTTTTCTTTCAGGCAAGGTGCTGTTTAAAAAACCTTCAATATAATAGTTTCATTTAGAGATGGTAAATCATCAAGTTATACATGGAAATTTTGATTTACATCAAATGTGACAACACAACTTACAAAAAATTTCTTTAAAAATTACTTAAAAACAAAAAATCATGTTATAAAAGGAGAGCCAAAACTCACCTTCTTTGTAAACTAAAACATTTTCTGATATCCATGAATAGTTGGCAACACTGAGTATCAGAAAAATATTATGTGTTAAGGAGTGGATATGTAGTGTTCAAACCTTGAATTTACTGCATACATTTAGCCTTGATTCATTACACCTGACAAATAAAAGGCAGTTTCCCCTTCCCCTTTAGTTTTGGCCACTAATTAGCAGAAAGAGTCTTTAATCATGATCAGCTCAAACAACTGCAATGCTTGAAGTCCTATGCCATAAAGTCCAAGAAACCAATGCATGGGGGTCAAAATCTGTCAGCCACAGCTGCTTCCACAAGCACCAGGTGCTGTCGTGTCTGGGGCTGTAACTGAGGATCTGGGCCCATGCTTTGGGTGTAAACACAGTGCAATGGAAAAGACTCACAGCAACAAACTCCTGTCAGAAAGAAGTCGGTGTTCCATCACAGCAAGAGGCTCTATGCACAGTTGGGTCACTACTCCTGGAGATGTGCAGTGTTGACACTTGGTGTGTGTGCTCATGTTTCTAAAAACATTCAGAATTAATCAGGAACCAAGGTGATTGTACCTCACTATAAGGCGGCTTGCTATGGTTTGGTCTCATGGCTTTACCAACTTTTTTTCCTCATTCACTAAAATCTGACAGTCCCACCTTCACTGATAGTTGTGTGTTTTATGGCTAATTGCTTCCCAAAAAAAAGCACAAGTTCTGTATGAAAAAAGTAATGTGTATACAGCACATTGAATCACAATATTACCTATACATCCAATTTACATTCTTTTATCCTGAAAGCATTTCATATTTCGATTGCTTGACACAAGCTATTGACTGCAGAAGTGAAAGAACATAAAACAGTTCATTCTACACCTCCAACTGCCTGAGAAAGAAAAATATTCTTCCAGTTTTATAAATTCATTCCTTATTTAGGATTTTTTCCATTTGGCACGCAGTTCCTTTGCTGCCAAACAACTTTTCAATGCTTTAATGCACATTAACATAGCATGAAAACAAGCTGAACAAAAGGTGCATCAACAAGCTCCTTGATCTGTTACATTTGAGTTCCTCCTCCCTCCCCACAAAGAACAGGTCACCTCAGCCTCCCAGTTAAAATCTTGATGGCAGCCAGTACAAAAATAAATCAACAACATAATGGAATGGAACTTCATGTAGCTGAAGTACACGGGAACAATAACCAGGCAAGTGAGCACACAGGAAGGGGCACAGGCAGTCTTTGGGAGGGGGAAAAGTGGCACAAGTTAAGGATGAGAACTACAGCACAGTTTATAAAACCATGAGAGTAACTTTTATAATACTGTAAACTGCAAGAGTCTTCACATGTCATGGTTGATCAGAGGCCTCCGTGCTCAGTTCTTGAGGAGGGCATGTGGAGGAGCGGGGATCCATGGCTGAGTGCATTAAAGGAATATAGACATCATCCATGTTTGGCATAACAAAGATTTTCTAGGAAAAAGATGCAGTGAAATGAAGTTACATTCTATATATCACTTGAAACCATAGTTTTCCAACTTTAGTTTAAAAAAATGCACATTTACAGAGAAAACCTTCTCAAGCTCTGCACTGAGTCAGTGCAGTGCCCATTAACTGAAACTATTTTGTTGTGTTACAGTTGTAAATGAAACCCAGAAATATGAATATCTCTGCATATGTCATTTAATTAAAGTGGAACTACAGAAAACATCACCAATTTTTCCTAATTGCTTTCTCAGCTCTTACCCATACATATACTTTCAAAATGCACTTTTACTAAAATAACTGGTTTTAATTTCTGGTTGACTGTATAGGTCCAGAATTGAGCTAGTCACTATTCCTATGCTACATGTATTTGGAGGGGGCTTCTTCCTTTTTACACTATGGTCAATGTGATTTTTAAAAATTACTTTAAAGGAAGTAAAAGAGGAAGTTGTGCCTTAATTTTTTATTAGAATTATCCTAATTTTAGGCAATAGTTTGTCCCCCTATCATCTAAGAACATGTGGGATCATGTTCTTATTTGAGTACTATATATTTTACCATGGTATCTATTTCAAAGAAATGTCATTTTCATCTCTAAAACAGATTTCCACCCAGGTCTACACATGAGTCTTGAGACCATCCCAGCAGTCAGTTTCAGCTGAGTTCTCAACATCTATCCCACTAGCCGGGAGCAGTGGAGGACATGACTAGTTATAAATTAAATAGGGGACGTGTGAAAATTAAACACCCCACCCCTTTAATTGACCAAAACTATCATCAATTAAAGGAGAATGTAAAGGAAACACACCTGGAACTCCTGTTCCAGTTTCCTTGCTATCCAATCTGTAACATGAACCAGAGTCACTTCTCTCTCACCGAGTTTTGGCCGTGCTTTTAACTCCAGGTAGGGAGGCCTTCGGAAGCCGTACCTCAGGAGAGAACACAGAGCAGGATTTATTACACACACCCTAACAAACTAAGTACTTAAACCTGTAAGAATATTCTCTTAATAACAGTTCCTACCTCATTTGCTACTAATTTGTACCTTGCCCAGAACCCACTTGAGCCAGGCTTTACTTTTTTTCCTAGTTGCAACCCCTCAGGTTACACAACTGAAACATTGCCCAGCTCTGAGCAACTCTTACCATATTCTGTCAGTGGGTGGAGGTGGAATGTTAATCACTAGTGTTCCTCTGCACTCCTGTACTTCAACTGTTAGCAGCAATGGAGTATTGGAGACCTCTTCAATTTTCTTCTTAATAAACTCAGTCTCTGTTGCTTTCTGAAAGTATTTTGACTTTGTAATTTTATCCACAATTCTCATGATTTTACTTGTTCGATGTCCTCCAACATACCTTTAGATAGAGAATAGAAAAAGAACATCAAAATAATTTTCTTAACTCTATTTGCTAAGACAGACATGGATTTTCTATTAAATCATTAAAGTTTTTGATATAAAAGTTCTGAACAGATATGTGGCCAAGCAGTATGTCCTAGGGCCTGCACCCAGCAGCTGTATTCTGTCAGCTACAAGTGTCTGGCAGAAACTCCTTCCCAGATAGCTCTGGAAACACAGCATTTTTTAAAAACTGCAAATACACTTAAATCATTTATGCCAGCAAGCTGGCATGAGAAATGACAACTTGTCTACTACCATTCCAAAAAAACTGTCAAGACACTGATGCACCAAGATGTACACAAATCAGCAGCATAGAAAGCCCAACCATTGTGTCTAATTATTTAACTGTGTGTGCTGAACAAAAATGTTCTAATTTTAAGGTACTGTAGCATTTATGAATATAAGGACGCTGAAAAAGAAGAGGAAAACAGTTTTGGCAGTGGGTGGAATGATATTCCAAAAATGGTTAACTATGTCTGCAGAAAGTGAGCTTTTCCTGGCAATTGTGTCAGACAGCATTCCTGGCTTTTCAAACAGATGCTTTAAGGGCTGAATATGTCTTTTCTTACCCCTATCTCATGTTGGAATTACACACTCCAAAAATAGCACATTTGGTATTTTCCACACACTATATCATGTCTAATTGTGGCTCTTGGTGTCACATAGCAGAGATAATCTTTGTAAGGAAATGACATTTTCCTATCCAGGGAAAAAATAAAGTTATTCTTACACAAATTTCTATAGTTTTTCTTTAGCACAACATAAGACAAAAACTGTTCAGCTGATAAAAAAAGGGTAAATAAATTTTGACTTTGGGTTTTCATACTAGCTGTAGCTTTACCCAGAGAAAGAAGTTATTCTCCCATCAGATTCTATAGTGGTAGTGATGCAGATTTTTAATAGGTGTAAGAAATTTTTTTGAGTACTTCACATGAAGATTCTTCATTCTCCCTCTTTGTTCTCTTAATAAAGAGTTCTTTATATGATTTATGAATTTCAAGGAGATGTTAAATGCATCAATTGCGGTAATTCAAACAATTCTTCACACAATTTTCAAAAGTGTTCTGGAGTAAAATACTAAAATTCTCTGGAACACTTTGAATAAGTCATAAGTCTTCTGGTATATTCACTGTAAAAATCACTTGGATATGTTCAGACACAGAAAACATCATCAGACATTCTGGGCTCAGACATTCAGCTTTCTCACTGCATGGCATAATTGCAATCAGATGCAGAAAGCAAAAAATCAGAACTGCAGCCAAAACAAGGAATGATGTGGCATCACTGATGTTGGGAAATTTTCTCTGAAATCCAGGCACAGCATCAGAGGGCAGTATTGCACAGCCCAGACACATGAAGTCCTCAAGGAGAAAAAAAACCAACACAAAACTGAGCAAGAAAAACAGGCTTGAGTAACAGTTGTTTTCTTAAAGAAAAGAAAATGGAACTAAGGGATAGGCAGGATCAGTGTAGGGGTAATACTACCTAGAAAGGGTTTCAAGTCTTCACACAAAATCCTGTTCTTGGCTCTGCTACCAGGTAGCACACACTGGGAAGGACCCCAGAGCTTCTCTGGCCTTGCAGCAATCCAGTAGAGAAGGGACTGGGAGGTGCCCAGGGCAGCTGGGAGCAGTCCCTGCAGGGCTGGAGTGAACAGGGCTTCCGTGCTGCCCTCTGCCCTGGGAAAGGGCGACTGGGGTTGCTTGGACACACTCACACTCTGCCATTCTGGGGGACAAAGAGCATCACAGGACTGGCACATGTATCAGGCGTGGGGGGAGAGAAGGATTAACAAACAGCTCACCCTTCTGCTCCTGGGGTCACCTGCTTCTCTCCTGCCAGCTCAGGAGCATCATCTTCCTCTGAAGAGCCAGCACTGGAGGATTCCTCATCGCTGTCTGCAAGACAATATGCCCTTGGCCTGAAACTGAAACAATGCAATTTCCAGGTCAAATGTAATATCCTCAAATAGCTATTCATCCTGAACAGCTTTGGCTGACATTACAGGTAACTGTCCCCTTCCCTCTTTTATAAATGCTATCTAAAAGAACAAAACCACTCTGAAGCCAGTCTGGCAGAAACAGCTTTCAAAACAGAAATCTCTTTTCCCCAGTGGAACATAATCCCTCATGAAAGAGGCTGGCACGGGGGTGGCTATTCTACATATTCAAATCAGATGTGGAGATTATTCTAAATACATTTGGAAGCATCGCAGTTGCTGCTCATGGTTTTCCATGAGTTGAGCAGAATTAAGGTTGGACAAACAACTTTGTTTGAATGTTGTGGGGGAAAAAGCGAAGTAATAAATAAGTGTTTCGGATACAAAATACCACACAGTAGTGACTAATTCCTAGACTTAAACTGTGGAAGGTTTTACATACACAATCACAAGAAAAATTTCAAATCTTTTAAACGGATTTAAATGAGAGAAGGATACAGTGGATACACTTCAGAATTAACAGATCTCTACTGAATCCAAGTGCTTGAAACAGTTACACAACAGAGGCTTCAAAAGCATATGGGCTTTAGCCCTAGGGACTACACCCAAGAATATAATATTCTACTTTATAGCTGTGTCTTCTTTTTGTGTGTATGTGTGTGTGTATTCTTGGAAATGTATTTGAAGCATTAATAACCTCACACAGGGCATGGACTGAGGCCACTGCCCATTATTCTGTATGCAGAACAAACTGGTGGTTGCTGCAAGAAGTCCTAATGTAAAGGGACAATTCAGGTGAAGCCCACAGTGCACAAGACTCCTTCCCCACTGGAGCAATAATCACAGGACCTGTCCACACTGAAGCATTTCCTACCCAGGCTATGGAATCAGAATCGCAAACCTCTTCCTATCCAGAGCATCATTTTGTACCTGCAGAGGAGTGAAGGAGCAAACCAAAGTGAGCCACCTCCCCGAGGACGTGGGGGTGGTGGGTGGTGCCTGTCACTGGCCCAAATAGCAATGCTGGAGCTGTTCCTAACAGAAATTCATGTTTTTAGGTCAGATTCAAACTACATGTTGTCCACCACGGTGTGACCTCACTTCTCTTTCCTGTGCATGTAGTAGCAGTGCTCAGGGCATTCTCAGGTCTTTCAAAGGTGTCACCTTCTTACAAGAAGGTGTTTTATTTCCTAGTTGAAGGGGTCCTCTGAAGTGCCTCACAAGCACCAAGGGCTCAGACCACAGGATTTCCTCGCATTAAACAAAGCAACAATAAATAAGCTTGACTGAGATTTCAGGGGAGCTCTGTATACAATGGACCATTTATATGACACAAACATTGGCAGAAAAAAATCACTTTGGAGCTACTGTATTGTTCCTGTAAAGACTGCACAATATTTTATGAATTGCCATTTGTCAGTTTGTTTTTACATGGTTCAACAAAGCCAAAAGGACTGATGGGTTAAGAAGCTGCAGTAACTTTGGATTAACCTGCCTGCTTTTGCCTCATCTCTTCTTTAGCATAACCTGTAATGTATTACTTCTATAAAATTGATAATTAAATAGTTTCCTACCCTTTTTGAGAGCAGCATTTTCCTGAGAGGGTGTGCAAGACAGCATTACCAGACTGCGTCTCGGCACACTTCACTTCTATTTCAAACAGCAAGTGCAACAGTGACCCATTTGTCTTGCTTTACACTGACAACAGGCAATGACAGTTAAACCCCAGAGCTGTTTCCCCCCCTCTCCTCTCTCTGGATGAGTAGGTGCCTTTCTCACACCACTTTGTGGTTACTGCATCTCAAGAGATGGTTTGTTCTGAGCTCGTAAGGGCCAGAAATGAGCTCAGCAACCACCACGCATCACTCACTGACAACGTGACCGTGGATGCAAACACATGCAGAGTAATTTGATTTGTCACAGCAGTTGTCAACTGCTAATTTAAAAAGCCAGTAGAATTAAAATTAACTAACACACTGGAAGGCATAGATGAGAATCAAGCTCTTCTATACTTTTCAGTCCTTAATTTATTTAATATCCATTTTGTTTAAGGAAAAAAAGCCAACAAACAAGCAATGAAAAAACCCTCATCCAAACTAGAATACATTAGACTGCTCTTGATGTAAAGCTGATACCTGGCCCTGAGCTTTGAAACATCCCAGCCCTGTGCAGGGAGCAATGCAGTTAATGCTGATACCTTCAAGTAATTGGTTGCTTGGCTACAGGCACTTAAATCTGCCTTGCTGGGGGCCTATTGCCAGCAGCAACCTGTTTTTTATATATGAATCAGTGTTCACTAATTATTTCTGAGGCTGTTCCTGCACTGAACAGATATGAAAATACACAAAGAAAATCCTGAAGGGGTGGGGAAGAAAAGCAAGAATTTGATTAGTATAGACATTTCCTTCTCTATCCCCCATTTTTTGGGCAGGCAGGATTAAAGGGATTTTGAAAAATTCACACCTACCAGTTATAGTGATGTAAATTCCGAAATATTTATTTCAAGCAGTGACAACAAGAATCTAGGTCGATTTTAAATCCTCTGAATTTCTACTAGTGTATGAGATCATTCAGCCATTAGTTTTTTTCACATTTATTTTCTTGTCATGACTGCACTGAAATATAGTGCTGCTGTAAGTATTACTTCAAGATATATCAGAATAAATGGTCAGAGCTACGACATGAGTATACAAAGCATCTAGTATCTTAATTGTGAAAGACCATGCTGTTTTGTTCATAGCTAAGCAAACAGCCAGATTTAGGGACTATTTTCTTGATTTGTAGACAGTGGTTTTACATTAAATCAGAGACCACCTACTGTTGAGGGCCTGCAGATTTCTGAAGTACAAAGAGAATATAGCACCAAAAAAACAGACTCCAGAGCTGGGAATGCAGCCATCCAGGGATGGATATTTGATAGGTGCCTCTCACTAGGTTAATACAAATGGACAGATGGATGATATTCAAACATCTTAAAAATGAGAGGGAAAGCACAAATACAAAGGAGGTAAGTTACTGTATGGTGTCTGCTAATTAGTTCATCTACAAAAGGCATTTCACTTAAGCATAGCAGGCAAACAGAAGATGAGGAAAATAGAGACTAAGGCAGGGATGTGATTACTCCTACGATGCACTAAAGCTTTTTAAAGTCTTTACATAACAATTAGAGCCTGTTTTTCTTCCACACTGTTTACTACTCCATGGTTTCCAGCTGCAGCTGTACTATGCAGCAGTAGCCTGTTACACCTATTTCTGCTTGTGTGTATCTCCAGTATTTGAGTTTTATCTGGCTAAACCCCAAATCAAGCATAAGACAAAACTAAATTTTAGTAACAGGACATTTTAAAACCCAACTGAGATATATATATATATGTGTATATATATATATATAATATATATATATATGCACATACACACACAAGATAATTGTTCCACAGAAGCCTTTTATTAAAATTGTTATCAATAGCGTAACCAAACAATAAAGTTGAAAAGAAAAGCCATGTTCCACACCCACTTGTATGAAACATCCCTAAAACTCCTTTCAATCTACTGCAGAGCCAGAGCTGCAAATACTTGCCATCCCTTACCCTTCTCTGCCGATCTCGCCAACCTTAAACGCTTCCCCAAGTGGCTCTTTACCAAGTTTGGTCAAGTTCATCTTGGTCTCCAGGGTCATTAGAAAAGATCCATTGTAGGACATTTCCAAATCAACCCATAGTCCTAAAATAAACAACAGGAAAGATGTCATTTGAAGAGCAATCACAAAGCAAGCTTACTGATCACATTAAGCTCGTGGAACAAAGCCAGATATAAATCCCAGCCACACTGAAAGAGAGTGGTGATTCCAGCTAATGGTCTCAAAAAAAATTACTGTGATTTACACACACCTAAACTGCTTAAGAGATGTGAAATGAGATAAAGGAAATACAATACCATCAGGGATTCACTTCAAAACTATTTACAGCATTGCTCCAAGCCAAGCAGTAATGGGGACACTCCTCTACATCCTGACGCTGTCCAAGTGAAGCACAACTTGAAATCCCACAGCAATATTGCGTCTCTCACACCACAACCTGCTGCCTCTTGTTTTGCCAGTGGTGTATTGAAAATCTGTGACAAGGTTCCCTCAGTTAACTGAGCTAATGACATTCCTGTATGATTCAGTGTAAACAGGGTCATTACTTAGACAATTCTAGATGTGCAATGCTAGATTAAATCCTATTTTCTGTGCAAACTATTTGCTTTTTGCAATCTCCAAAAGAATTGTCTTGGGAATACCTTAAGATTAGCTTGAGCCTTTTAAGTGACACCCTGCACTAAAGATGTATTTGTCACCCAGAGGTTAGAAAACAGATGCCACTAAACACAGATTATACATCTTCCTTTTCCAGATACTGGAGCTGCACAAAACATTCCCTCAACAGTACCTGGCACATCAGCCACTGACCCATTCCACTTTTATTTACTTATTTGAAAGCAATTAATGGTGAATAAAACTGAAACCACGACAAATAGTAACTACTCTTATTGTTTTATTGTTCTAGAAAAGTCACACTTTATCAGTTAGAAGAATGAACTACTGTTTTCTTTTCTGCAAAAACACATCCTTATCATAATCCCACCCACTTGTGGTAACAGAAATTCAGGCAGCTCCCAAAGACCTGGTCACTAGCACTCTGTGAGGTTACATGCTGGAAGCAGGATGAAGGCAAGTTGGTGCTTTACTAACCCAAATAACTCTTTTCCATCACATTTTTTCTAATACTGTTCTAAAATCCAAACACAAGAACTCAAACACAAGCTTACAAGGATTTTTTTTCTCTTTACAGTATGAAAGTTTCAGTAAGATCATAAAAAATAAGAAAACAGCTTAACAGACATTTTGGATAATCAATGAGTCAGCAGAACTCAATCATCAATATAATTTTAACAGTAGATCAAATTAAGCAAAGGATGCCATTACTGAGAGGGAAAATTCCTTCTAACCAGAAAATGTTCATACACTTTTTCCAGAGGGGAAAAAGGGAGGGAGGGGGAGTGAAGAATTGGGAAAATTATACAATTTATTCCTTTTGCTGGTTCCCTAGCTTTGACAGAATTACAGTAAAAGCCACAGCATATTCTGTCACGCAAGAGGACTGTATTAACAGAAACAAGATTTTTTCTAACATTGTCTGTTAACAAATTTAGTTAATTAGAGAAGGCATATAATAAAAAAAGTATTTTCTTTGTAATTAAGCACAAAAGCAAGTATGGATGAAACAAAGCACATCACAATTAGTAACTGCACTTGAAAGCCTCACAAAAGGCTACCTCAAATGATGGCCTCAAACACCTACTAAAAAATCCCCAAAACTTAGAAGTGTTCATTCTGGATACTGCCCTGAAACTACAGGGTTGTTTTCCCCCACATTCCCCAACAAAGCACATCATTTACCCATAGGCCAACTTACCAAGAAATACATTTATTCTTATGAAAACAAGCATTTCCAATTTTCATCCCCTTGTTTATGTCCTTTTAAGTATAATAAGAGAACAAGCTATTCCAGTAATTACTCACTACAAGTGTAGTAAGAGTTAACTACTAAGAGTTCACGTGTCATTCAACAGTATGGAAGAAGTTAAAAGGATTGGAAATCATACCATAAATGTTTGCTTGTCACAGTTTAACTGAACAAGAAACTGAAGGAACTAATTGATCTCATTGCTGTTTCAGCAATTAATTGAAGCCAAGTGTTCAGTGGCTCCTAAATCCCATCTCATGATTTACAGCTACAGTCTTTGGTTACAACTGAAGTTATGAGAACAAAGAAAGGAATTCAAAAAATGTTTAAATCAAGGCAAAGGAAAACACACTGACAAGAACCCTGAAAGGAAAGCCTGATTAAAAAGGAACTATGAAACCACAAGCATCACACATGTAAAGATTTTAAAAAGTTTTCCTTTGTTCAGTAACTCCAAATAAAGATTCTATCAATGGTGCAACCACTTAATTGAGAACACTGGAGGACTTCCTAAGTACTGTGGAGAACCTGATGTCCCACACAGGAAGCATAAGACAAGAAGCAGCATTATGCTTTAGTTCCCCAAATACTGACTGCACTCCAGCTTATTCTGTCTATTCAACTCTTATTTCTCTTAAAAAGACAGATTTTGTTCTTCACGACAACCAAACAGTTTGTCTTTTCAAACATGCTTTGTTTATAAAGCTCAGTGGAAAATATTCTTTGGAAAAGTTGAGAGCAAAGTACTCAGTGTTTTATAGATAAGGCTTTGCAAAGAGTTGCAAGTCTCAAGTAGATAAGGGCAAACAATAGAGTTTGGATACAACAGGCAGCGTTAACCAATGTATGTCCAAGAGGATTTTAATATTTCCCCAAAGTCTGCTTTGTTCAGTTTTATGAGGGAAAGGTTAGCACTTACTATCCTCATGCTTTTAGTCAGTGATTTGAGTGGAATAAAGTTTTTTGTATTAAAGTTTATTAATCGTCTCCTAAAGTCCATGTATCTGGTGCTCTTGCAAAGGTCAGGTGACACCACACCAGAATATCCAAGGAAATATTTCCCTTTAAGCCAATTAGAAATTTCTCCACATTGAGTGGAGAAACTCTGATGCAATTTAAAACTTAAAACTGTTCTGAGTATATCTTAGATGACTTCTCGCTATCCTCAACATGCAGAACAAATGCTTTTGAAGCTAAAAAGCATTATATGAAGTTTTTCTTTTTTGCAAGACTATTTAAGTGACATGAATATCCTCAAATATGTGACCATAAACTGCCAGAAGGAATAAAAAACGAACAGTTCTAATTCATAAAGCAGCAGTATGAAAGTCATCCAGCTTTAAAAAAAAAGCTGTATTTAATATTAAGGACATAAAATGATGTGGCATTTTGAAGTTTATTTTCAAAACAACACTGTATTCTTCTTTTCCAAGTTACTACTGTTATACTTTCTGAATCCTTGTTTTCAGAGCAGGGCAGCTTCTTTTGCACAGCCAAACCTGTTTCCTCCTGTGGTACAGAATCAGATCTGTCTCAAGGAGATATGTATTGCCCTCTGCAGTCCATGACAGCATCAGGAAAGTGTCTCCATCTCTACTGCATGCAAATTTTAGCATGGAAAGGCATGATCACAATTCCATATATACATTTTTACATTTACATTTAGCCTGAGCTAAAGACCCCTGAGTATCTCAGAATAAGCTCTTTATTATTACTTATTATTATTATTATTAATTATTACATTTACCTAAAACATGAACAAAATAAACAGATCAACATTCTGTTCTCTGATACAACAGCAATACCAACAAGTTTTTTGTATTTTACCTCTGTGATCAATAGAAGGTTTGAAGGCTTGAAGGATCTTGGGCACTGCTATCCCCATGTCAAGCTCAGTGAGAGTCAGCTCATTCATGAAGTAGGGCAGCTAAAAGGACAGAATATAAAAAAAATCAAATGCATGTTATGGAACTAAACATCAGTTTCCTGAGAGAAGAAAGCTTATTAAACTTAAGGAATGCACTGAGCTGAAGTGTCACTGGTGAAAGAACACAAATACAATTACACAAATTTCTTACTATTCTAGAATTTCACAGTTGCCAGTTTCAAAACTTTTTAGGGAGAGATTGGGCATCTGAACTTGTTTTTTAAATTATGCTGAAGTTTATATGCTGACTCTAAACCATAAGCATGCTTTTTAGTCAAAGTTTGTAAAAAGCGGAAGAATGAAGTGTAAATCCTATTTCACTGCAAATAAAAATCAAAGACTTCTTTGGATTTTGACTTCAGTTGTATATTTTATCATTGATGTTTTCTCAATATCTCAGCTTCTTTTATCTTTGGCAAATTCTTCCATAGAACATTACCCTTTAAATCTGTATCATAGTTTCAGTAAAACAGAGGCACAGAATCATGATTTGGGTATCTATTCACTTAAATATTTCTAATTGACAGAAAACATTATCTCCTGTGAACAGACACTACTTTAACACACCAAAAATACATCCACTCTCCATTCCTAGTTTTTCTACTTAAAAAGTTACCAGTGAGATGTCTGGGTGCCCTGCTGTCACAATTGTGGAAACAGACAGGGCAGAATTAGGTTGCTGGTTATTTCCCAAAGCAAAGGCAGCACTATCTCACAGCTGGTGCTGGCAGCTAAATTCCCGAGCTTTTGTCAGCAAGACAACAACTTCCTTTGCCTTTAGGAACAGGCAAACTCCTCCCCAAACATCAGGAGTTGAAGGCCTGTGATGAACTGCTGCTGTTCAGAAGGGTTACAGAAGGCAAGGGGAAGACTGAGAAGTCACTCAAAAGCATCACTCCCCCCTTCATCAGATGGTGCAGCTGATGGAAGCTGTGTCCTGTCACCTCACAGAGCTTTTTCTGTAACTATTGCTCCTACTGACCTCCTGCTTATAAAGTAGTTTATGTCTGAAGTTAACAGGAACACATTACAGTGGTGGTTCCTTGATGTCCTCCACCTTAAAATAATCTACTATTTCCCAAAGCAGATTTCCTCATTTATATGCAGTTTTATTTATCCCTAATATAAATGCAATAATACTTTAATTTTTACATAAGAATTTGACAGATACAAATAGCTAATCCAGCTGTAGCTCATTTTAAACAGAAACAGTAAAGTTAACATGCTGAGATCCATTAGAAACTGAACTGCCATTCTGCAGAACATTTACTGTCTTTGACATGTAAGTGTGATGCAAGTCTTGTACTATTTTAAAACTCAAAGATTACATGTTTCACTTCCTTCACAAGGAGTGTAGAATGCAAGTCTCCAGATCAGGTACCTTTATTTTGCTAAGTTTCATTTGGATCTTCTTTGACACTAGATCAGACCAATACTTCTCTCCTAAAAAATCCCAAAATACTCTTCCAAGCAGAGCATTCACCCAGGCCTCCTGCTCTTCTTCTTCAGCTTCTACATTGGCATCTGGCAACTGAAAACATAAAGCAGGTTATTCAGCATTATAAATTCTATAAAGTAAGGACAGAAAAGGCCTGATTTATATGGGAAGTTCAGTGTTAAGGGCCCAGGTCAGCTCAGAACACCAAATGCTCAGCACAGGGAACAGCTTTACAAACACATCAGCTGGGCTGCCACGAGCCTGTCATCATCCTGACATGCAGCAGAGGGAATGAGACCACACAGAGATAGATTGACCTCTGGCAATGAAATGAGAAAGTTGTATGTAATTTAACCTCTGGCAGAAAAAGCAGATAAACCCAGAGTGGGTAGACTTATAAATGTGTTTGCAGTAAGAGATACTCTCTCTTGCCAGTCAAATCTGGAAGAAATCTACTCTTCCTTTGTTTTATCAAAAAATTGGAAAGCAAGACCCAACCTTACATCCTTAAACCCAGTTCAGAAACAACACAAAGAGATGATAAATACACTACAGGGAATCACACTCCTCCTTCCAGTGTTTGCATACAGGATTCAGGAAACTCTATTGTTCCTTCTGCTGCATTAAAGGTTTTGTTTACAGTCCAAGA